TGCTATCTATAGACCTCGATAGAGTCTTTAGAATTCTTGTTTACACTTGGACAATTTTAACAATTAAGTAAAAAATAATAAAATAATCTTCAAAACACGTGAACCTTTCACATTCACAAATATTAAAATCTCGCGCTTGAAAATCTTACCCAGATGTGTTTTATACTCAATGTAAATCAATCTATATTGTAATTTGTGTATCTAATGCATATGTAAGATGTGTTTGATTTAATTCTAATTAACAACGAACTTTATAAATTTTAAACAACTTCTAATTAATTTCCTGAAACTGAAGGCCGAGGAATAGTAATGTTGTCTCGGGCGACATAGTATTTATTTCCAAAGGGAGTTGAGGACTCGAAGTTTTTAATTTTATCATAGTAGAAATCGTAGAGACCAAAGTTGCCTAGCTAATCGGCCACTGGTTAAATAGGATAAATACACATTATAAATCTCTACCGTGCCACACGAACGATTTAGCATCAGGGCCTTGGATAGATTGGTACAAAAAAGTAAATGCCGGGTCAGGCTACTGGGCGACGCCGTTTGAATACTAAACATCGCCCATGTCATCGCAATGAAGCCGATGCAAATACTCGAGCTCAGCAAAGAACGGTGACAATTAAACAATTAGCCTCAATGAATCTTGTAGCATTGTTAATTTATTATTCCGAGAAATGTAAGGCGATTGAAATTATAGACTTAAAAATTTACAAGGTATAGATTTGTGAAACTGAAGAAATTGGTAAGTGTAAAACTGTTTGTTCAATACTTGAATACTGTGGTAAATTAATTAATTATTTATTCGAGGAAATTATAAATTCTGCTTATACTTCTCGATTTAAACAACTTTATGGAAATTAGTTGTAGTTTGCTAATTGATAATTACTTAATGAACTTATAGGAAAACTTTGGAGTGACTCTCAGATTTGGTATCTTTATTCCGCAATCACTAACTTTTTCATTTTGCGAGTAGACTTTCGATATTACATAATCGAAAAGAAACGCTGATTTGTTTTAAAATTTTTACCAGATTTACTACATTTTAAAATTTGTAACTTAACTAATGAAACGCGTTGTGTTCCTTCTTAATTCGGAGAAAATGGTTTTTATCATTTAAGTAATATCAGTAGCCTAACTTCTGCTCAGAGCTCAGGTTAGGTTAGGTTAGTAAAGAGCATAGGTTATAATTTATTGTGCTGGAAAGTTTATAATTCAGACTTTTTTCTAAACTGATAGCCATTAGATTAGCAATTTCGTCTATTTATACACATACGTGTTTAGCAAACAATCACTCACGTATTTTCATTCTGACGGTGAATATAGTCAGAGGTGGCTGATGCAATCCACGCTCTATCGAGCTTATTTTGTCCCATACGTGACCGGCGCTGAGTCATGCCGCCTTCGCCGTATATTAAGTGATATTTTCATAATGGTAAATTTTCACTCGACTGCCTATCTGTACAGCGTCAGTAATAAAAGTCAAGCGGAAACTCTACGCCTCAATCGTTCCAACGGGTTGTAGCAAGGGACGGACTGCGGACGACTTGCTCCCGGTGATTATGAAGCGGAAAATTGGCGATACGGTGACCGAAGAGGTTTTTATAGAACGTAATGGAATGCTTTCGCGAGACGTATAAATTTTGCACATTATGTTCTCAGTGAACTTGTGAAATTCCTAAGTGTTTTAAAGGGGTTATTTATTTAACTACTCTAATCTTCTTCTCAGAAGAACATTGATGCTTAGTACTATGGCTTGAGAAATGGTGTAGAATAGAATTGTTTCATCATCCTTTTGCCTTTATCGCACCTAGGTGAGGTCGGCTGTTTTTTACGGCTGGCCGTCTGTTGGACATCAACTCTCATTGGGAAACTGTTTCTTAAATTACTGTTAAGTGTAAAATAGAAGTGTTTGTACTTATGAATTTCGTCTGGTAGGAGAAGTAGCTGTACGCTCACCCACTTGATGGAATAAATCTTCAATCCCATTGGTGTTGCCGACTTCTTTTGACAGCATGCATCGCTTAGCATCAGCTGCAACTCTTGCTTGTTTGCCATAGTTTGTAATATTAAAAAGTTATAGGACCATGCAACAGTATTCGCTGTTGCACGAATGGGCAGGTCCGTCCGGGTTAGTACCACGACCTCACAAAAGACCGGCGTGAAGTAGAAGTGTTACACTTCTGCGATTCGTCTGGTGAGTGAGGTAGCCGTGGCCCACCTTATTAAGACGTGGCAACACATCTGCAACCGGTGTTGCAAATGTCCGTTATCGACGGTTATCACTTAACATCAGGTGAACCGCCAGCTCGTTTGCGATTTTTTCACATAATAAAAAATTAGCATAAATATCTAGCGCGCTAAACTAATAAAGATAGTATAAAAGTAACAACCTATACATGTCCCACTGCTGGGCAAAGGCCTCCTCTATACAGAGGGTATCAGGGCATAGTCCACCACGCGGCCCCACTGCGGATTGGCGGACTTCACATATTTTCGAAATATATATTTTTTTTGGTATTATTTCGAAAATATGCAGGTTTCCTCACGATGTTATTCCGTGATAGCTCAGTGTCCGGGCGCTCGCTTTTAATTCAATATACTCGAGCAACCTGAGTTCGATCCCCGGTGCCGGCACCAATGAAGCTTTTAACTTTAAGTGCTGACTTATCACGTGCTCCGCGGTGAAGGAAAACAAAGATAGTAAGTATGGTGTTCTCAAATTTTGTTAAGTCAAAAATGTGATGGTGTGTTTGAATTATTTTGTATAATAGAACTTTACGGCGACCCATTAATTTTCTTTTTAATATTATTATTTTATTCTCTCATTTTTCTTATTTTCTACTCATATAAATTAAAGTATGAAACAAGCAAAACGAAGTACGCACAGTTTCACCCAAAGTCGAATAATACAATGATATTACTGTAATTGCTTTTAAAAGTTGTTGTAACGGAAGTAACATTTTTAATTTGTGCAAACCATTCTAGCGGATGCGGTTAATGAAAAGAATTTTATAATTACCGTGAAACCGAGCAGTCCATGTAACTAACAGTTTCATTGTAACAGTGCCCTTTTCATGTCTGACAGCAGATTTAGTATTTTCTGTCCATATACGTTGATTTAATTAACATTTTACTCATAGATACATGTATTTTCATGGTGAAGCATTCGGGACATAAGGGATTAAACGAATTTGTAGTGAAATAAAGTAACAGCCTATATATATCCCACTGCTGGTCAAAGGCTTCCTCTGTACAGAGGGTATTAGTCTACCACGTGGCCTTCACCGCTGGGCACTTGATAAGTCAGCTCTTAAAATTAATAATTTCATTGGTGCTGGCACCGGGGATCGAATAATTCCAGCTTGGGGTCGTATTTTACAAAAATGAACCTTTAAATGAGTCTTTAAATTTTATCCATACATCATTATTGCGTGTTTCTTATTTATGTATTTCTAAATTGTTCTAAAACAACTAATTGGACTGTTGTTTTAATCGCTTACAATTAGATGAATTACCCTCTTGTTTGACAAGAATTGTCCCATTAAAAGATACCGTAAATGAATTTTGTGTGAATGTTAGCTCTAAAATACTGCGAAATTATTCCGGATTAATCTGCACGATAAAAACTCAATGATGTGGAATTAAATATAAAACGTAATTGCAAAGATGGCCGTAAGAGAAATCCGAGCAAAGGTGGCCGCGGGTAAAGTTAGACCTAAATAAACAAAGTCACGTTTCGCAAAACCCGCAACGAGGCAATTTTTAAAGAACATTCTTTTCAATGAATTCCTAGTCTTAATTATACCGCCAAATTAATTTACTCGCCAGAAGTTTTCTTTACATTTTACTCTAGACTCTTCGTAACACGAATAAGGACCTGACTTGAAATTGGGCGACCTTATCATACCCATCGAAGTTTATTTATCTTATCTAAAAGCATTAATTAAGAAACGCACAACTTTGCGAAATTATTTTGTATAATCATTAAAATGTAAGTTGATTAAACCGACTTCAGATAAACTTAGCAATTGCCAACAGTAGGTAATGCCTGTCGGTATGTCAAAGTTCCCGACAAAGTATGTCATGTTGAAATTTCACCTAATTAAGGTAGCTTATGGTGTACTTGGTTATTAATATCTTTTAAACAAAATCACCAGTGTTTTAAGATAATATTGATGTATATTAATTCAATAGGTTTTTAAATTTGAAATATATCGTCAATATAGTGTATAATATAAACTAATATAATAGTCCAATTTTCAAAAGCTTGTCAACGCATCTGGAACCCTTGGTTGTAGCAGATGTCCATGGGCGGCGGTATTCACTTAACATCAGGTGAACCGTCTGCTCGCTTTGCAAATTTTCACATTAAAAAAGTATAATAGGTAGTCTATTTCGGGTGCTTAATGATATTCATCTGAATAGATAATAAAATATACGTAGGCAGTATTTACGAAACCAAGTGTGCGGCATAACATCATAATATAAGCAATTTTTTCCCTTTTCTTCCTCGGTCCCTCCCATATCTACGGATCGTACGGTTCAGTGGCGTGACGTCCGATATCGGATTAGTTTATGGGCAATACTACGAGGACGTGCCAAGACTGCTAGTGGTGATTTTGAACCGTCTTCTTAGGACAATCCACATCTGCTTTACCGCCTCGCACTGTCCAGATAATAATAATATTGTTAGTACACGGAAAAGTTAACATTTTTTAATTCCAAACGTATAACGTGAAATGCAAAGTGTATTACCGAATTAAATTCAAACGCACAATAAGGAGTCCGAGTATTATCGTGCTTAACGCAATAAATGTATCGTGAAATGGCGAATAAAACGTAAACCCCCACAAGTTGATTACAGTACAATTTTCCATTGCTCAATATACGAAATAATTTATCCGATAGTCCGTTCCTATTTCAGTACACGCTCACGCAACGTAACGAAATCATCACCTTCATCTCCTTTCGCTTTGCGAACAATCCTCTCACTGCTAATGCTACGTTGTCGCGAGTTATTATTCGCAATAGAAGAGAGGGAGCATTTGATCGTCGTCCCCGCGGAAGCCTTTTATGTCGTGATGAATTTCGCGGGATTATGTCGTCTGGAGGCGTTCGCGGTGGCGGCGGGCCAGTCGGCGGGGCGGGCCGCGACGCCAGCGGACTACGCCGCCACGGCTCAGTCCGCGACGAAGCGACGAGCCGAGCGAGCGCCTCGCGCCGTTGCCTCCCACAGCGCTCGCGTACGCACCGCTCCATACTCCACATGTACGCGCTCTCGGCACACGAGCGGCGCCCGACTTAGCCGGGATCGGCCACCGCGCGCCCCCACGTGCCCATAATTATGCCCGTAACGTTCGACCACCGTCTGACGGGATATATAGACTCGTTTTTTTAGTTAACACACGAAAAGTTTATCGACCCCCCAAACTGTGCCGCCGTTACAACCCTTATTCCCTTCGCACTGCCAGTCGCTCCCTCCAATTATTGACTCCCCTAAAGTTTGTTGAAAAATCCCCTACTCTCCCGTTTCGGGCCCTTTTATTGCTCCAATATTTTTATTACAACGCCGTCTCGACGTCGACGCCGTCGCGCTGCGACAGAGCGACGGGCTCCATTTGAAATGTAAATACAACTGTCGTGGCCATTTGTCCGAGTCTCGCCGTTTCTCGCGAGTTCGCGTTTAAGTTATAAATTACGGCATTAAAGCTACAATTAATTTCGTCCCCGTTTTACGCGGAAAGCTCTATCGCGGACTAAGCCAAAGCCCAAATTGGCATACGGTTTTACATGGCCGTTGTCACTGCTAAAGCCATTCTCAAAACTATGTCCCGGGGTCGGTGCTGACGTTCGTCTTCGCTGTTTGAGTGGTGAATGTGTTGCTGGTGTTGGTCGTGTCGCATAACGGACTGGGGGAGTTCGTGGCGACGCATGGTCGCGTGATTGGCAGCCGCCGCAGCGGATGTGCACGCCGCTGCCGTCCTGGTGGTTCGTGCCGGCTGGAATGCCAACTGCTCTTGACCTAACTAGGTACCCCACACAAAACGCACACAGTACACCGACTTGCGCGCCCATATGGCGCGTGCACGGAACCAACACGTTTGTGCATCGCAAAGTGGCGCTCTGTTCGTTGCGATCAGAGTTTTTAAATTAATACTAACTGTTACTAACCGTCTCATAATTGTAAGAATATATCTAATGACTAAAATTTTTGTGTTAATGAATCAATTATCTGTATTTAAAGTGTTTGTAACCAGTAAATCGGCGTAACCGTGTTTTACAGTCTGAAATATTTATTGCATACATAATGTATATCTAACATGTGGTATAAAAACTACTTACCAAAATGTCAATGCTTTGTTGCATGGTCGTTTTAGAATTGACGTACCTCCCTTCTTATTAAACACAATGTTTTGCCATAATCTTTATCTAGAACATGTACACTTCCTTGTCACTACTATAACGTCAGCAATAAAGCAAATGCGCAACGGCGGAGTCGATTTGCGTTATAACTGATAATACATGATTGCGGTGTCAATAGTAAGAGCCACTTTCTAAATACATACAATTTCACACTACGCAGACACTTCGACATTGGTACCTTTATAGTATTAGCACATTGCACGTATGTCTGTCACGCCGCAACTTTTGGTATTATTTGCGCCCTTATTTTCAATTAACAAAATGCCTTTCATGCTTGAATAAAAAAATAATTTCTTGTGCGTTACCTATACTGTTTGCAACCTATACACATTTAATGTGTTTTTAAGTTAAAATATTTGGCTTGCGACTTAAACAATAAAAAAGGAGTTCTGTAAGAAAAAACAGAGCGAAGTCGTAATAATATCGAGTTGTGAAAACAATAATTGAATTATTTCAAAGTATCAGGGTTTGCGTAGTGCACAGTGCATTGTTTCAACAAACAAACGCAAACTTCAACACCGGTCTTGTAGTTAGCCCTACGGCGACCGGGATAATTTGTGCAAAAGTAAAACAGTGCCGCGTAGTGGGTTCAACTTTAAGAAGCTCTCTGGAGCACAGTTTACCATCATATACATCTATAACTCCATTTTAATTCCTATAACAGCACTAGTAAGGTTCAATATTGGCTCACTACAAATAAGTATTAATAATTTGTTGTAACTTATGAACCGGGATTTATGGGAGCGCAATGCAAAAGATAATCACGAAGGCAAATAGAACAAATACAAAGCCCAACGGTAAACGTATCCGCCAAATAGTTTGAACTCGCCATTATTTAATTATTTAACCGTCGCCGCTGTGTTCACTGCTGCGACTAATTGCTAAGTTTGAAACGCTTTTGGCACCCAACACTGCTGTCGGTACTCCTCTTTTTTGGTCCGTTTGTTTCTACAAGTTTACGTGAGCCAAATATGCCTCTGAAAGTCTCCAACTTTTTTATTAGGGTAAAAGAATGAGATTGATTTTGTATAATAGACGTTACACGTCCTAATCCATAAGGTTATAATGTGTTTGGTAGTACGCTTCTTATAATAAACTGTTATTTTTTTCGAACATCAAAGGCGCGCTTTGGATATTTCACATCAAAAGGTATGTCTGAGAAACCCTTTCAATTTCCAATTACAAAAGCGCTCAATGAAAGTCTTGTAAATTGAAATATGATGTTGTATGGCTTACATGTCTAACGTATTCAATTATTTGGTACGGCGACTTAATTTGGATTTCCACTTCGATTGCCTCGTATTTTCAACTAATAATTGTGTATTGCTTCTTTTAAATTCCTCCCTTTTGATATCATTAATTTATATACGAAGTTTTCATAGAACTTTTCCAGTGGCTCTATCTCGAGATTTCTATGAACGGTGACTACTATTGGAACTTTTTTTTTTCTCTGGATCCTTTTGTATTCTGGATCGTTTCTGACGAGCGACTTTATGCAAGCACAATAGCAATTTACATTTTATATTTATTTCCTTTACTACTGTCATGGCTAGATAATATAATACATTATAATTTGTCCGAATGGTACCTTACGAACCTATATACATAACCTTTGATGTAAAATTTGACGGTTCATAAGAGCGCGCAAGCGTCTATTTGAATAAATATATTTTTGATTTTGATTTTGAATAATTTTTTTATTAATAGCTAATGGAGTCCACGTCGAACTTTGTGTGCTTTACTTTACTTTAACTCTTGTGATAATTAGAATGTGCTGGTTAGGATTCGTAATGCAATACATTTTTATATTAGCATATTGCGTTGAGTACACTTTAAGGAGGTTGAGAGATGCAAATTGAGTCCATTAAGATTCTTCAAATGTCACTTAAAAGCCCGTTCTAGAATCGAAAATGAACTGAAACTTTTATAAAGAACTTACAAAAGTATTCAAATTATAGTTTTTACTGCGAGTTGCCACAGAATAGTTTTTCAGTGATTTTAAATGACTTCGGAGGTGACATCAAAGCGAGTAGAATTTATTCAATTTATTTATAGAAGACTATTCACATGAACAATAATACGCTTAGTTACATCATTGTCTCTCATACCGAGAACAATCATTAGCGATACACCGCTTTATATTAGCATTATGTATTGGTTTGAATAGTACAATACACCTATTCAAAATTATAGCTATAATTCGGTTCTTATATAACGTTTCTGTTAAACTGGAGGTTCGTCGTGATTTTTTTGCGACATCTTTTTTTTGCGACAACATCTTTTGATAGACATACAACATGTGCCGTATTATATTGCTGATATGATGAAATAAACGCTCAGGAAAAAAGATTAAATAGAAAATATATTTGAAGAACTCGTGAATCAAATGAAAATGAACAAATCAATTTTCATGTTAAATTAACACGCATGTTTTGAATGTGACGTAACCTAGACTACTCAACCATTGTTATATAATGTAATGTTTTGTATTTCTGGCATTTGATAACTTTCTGATAAAAATGTCACAATAATAGTCATATAAATGTGAATGTCACATAAAGTTACTTGGTTAATTCGTAATTAACACTGAGTGGGGAGCTACGCCACATGTGATGCGGACTTCAGGCCTAGCTTTAGCATTTTCTTTCGGTGAATTCGTGCGCAATCTGCTCGTGCCAAGCTCGTGGATACAGCCCTAAATGAAACCTGCCGTACAATAACTGGATGCTTGAAGTGCTTGAAGCCAAACCCGATGAAGTTGCTGTATCCACTGGCTGGCACAGTGCCGCCAGAGAGGCTCCGCTAAGGCGGACGAAGACATGCGGCACCCCCTACATGGGCACGAGCTTCCACCGCAAAGGCTGGACAAATACTACCATGGCCAATCTGGAAGTCATTATTAAGCTTCGGACTCAGGTTGGCCGGAGCATCGAAAATATGTTTAATTGGGGACTCTCAGAAAACCCAGACCAGGACTGTATGTGTGGAGCAGTGCAGTCCACGACTTATCTGATATCCTGTTCTGTCTGCCCTTTCACCTCTTCGCAGCAGGATTTGATGGATGCCACAAAATGTGCAAAGTGGGTAAGTTGTGGGACGGAAAGATATGATTTGTCTTGGACACGTAAAGAAGAAGAAGATTTACACTATACGCATATTTGTTTGTGTCCCAAATGCTGCTTTCTTGGAAATTAACTTGAGCCGTATTAATCTACTCCCTTAATTGTGTTACCCCAGCCCTCCCATAATTTAATATCGAAATTATTATCCGGCGTCAGTTGCTACACAAGTTTCTATTTGCGAACCGCATTAAATATTCGGGCTACAGTAAACAAAACAATAACAATGATATTACCCTGTGAAAAAAGCGTTTCGTATAACGTTTTTAGCGTTTTACTATCGCTCGTTCCTTTACATGTCTCTGTAAGTATGAAATACATGGCAGTTGGAGTGCTCAAAGCGTAGTGGTTGTGTTATGCCCAACGAACGTTTATATTCAACGGGGCGAACCACCCGCGTCGTTTACGTGCCGGCCTCGCTACGGAATCGGAGATGTGAGTGGTGATCCATACAGAAATTACGGCTACACGCGTAATCGAGCATAAATTTTATCAAAACGACGTCTGCTTAAAATCTTATGCGCTATTTTAGAAAGAGCTCTTTACGTAGTGCTCCCACGTTGTAACTAACATACGATGAAAATTTTTTTGATCAATAATATACATTGCCGACTGCAATTGGTTATCGCAGTTGGTAAGCAATATACTTCACCCGAAAATGTAATTGTAGAACTTACGTAATTGGATATGAAGGCGGATGGATTTAGGAGTTTAACCTAGGTTAACTTGTATTTGTAAAAAGGTCTCTACGAATACTTTATCTAACAGCTGGTGTCACTTTTTAAGAAATAGTAACAATAGATTCGTGGTACACATATATAGATAAGGAATATTTAAGTTAAGTAGTAGTTTACTAAAATACGTTTTATGTTTGAATACTTTTCAGACTTAAGCTGCATTTGGTCCACTTGAAACTTACTTCGTACTTAATAAAATACTATATTAAGTTGCAATCCTATTTTAAAATCAAAGATATCAATCTTTATCCAGATCACTGTATGCGTTTATATGAGTGCGTACATATACATATATATTTGTTTGTCCTCACGTTCACGACATTTAATTAAGATAACGTTTTAAATATTAAATAATGTTTATTAATAAGGTGGAATTGCATGAGACGAGGTCCAGCGTTATTATCAGGTTACTTTAAGCCTTATATTTATTCTTTCTTTGAGTATTAAAGCTCATGAAAACAAGCGCCGCAAAGGACTTTATGAGCTCTGATGCGCCTTATGAAGACCACAAAGAAAAATGCCTTCACCGCTCTAACAAAGCAAGTCATTTAATATAATGTTTTTTCAGTTAGCTTGGCACTTTGAGTTAAATTTAAATTACTTCTTATAAACTAGGGAGTCGGTACATGGAACTACTTTTTATTTGAACACTTTAAACTAACAAACAATTACCCTACCGTCTGAGACGTTAGATCATGCTGATGCATACTGGGGATCGAAAATAAAACTAAACTCGACTTCGTAGATTCGTAAAAACGGGATAGTTGTGAGCTTTTAACTTGTCCGCTGAACAATGACATTCTGTCCTGAATCCCCGTGGAGTTGTCTAGACCGCCCGCTCGCAACGCAAGGGAGATATGGCACTTGGTTGATGTAGACGGTAGGTACCTTTTCGTGTTCCGTCCGTAGATTGTATAACGAGCTGTATATGCTGATAAATGCTGCATTCATTTTGCTATTCTCCTTTATCTTCCGTTAGGTCACTTTGTGTATAGGTAGATGGTTTAGCTACGTCGCTTGTATCGACATAATTATATAGGTTGCCCACGGGACATCCCTCTCCACAATTATGTACGAATAGCGATTTTGTTTCGTTGACCGTCCCAATTTAGAATTTACTATGTATATGACCTGTCGAAAGTGATAAACGAAAGTTTATTCTTTATCTTAATGACACTTAACCAGTTAATTATCATCTCTTTCATATCGCTGTTAATAGATATTAAGATTATATTTACTTAGAAACTTAATTCAACGATTGGCAATTAATTTAGTGTCTATTGTGAAAAGGATGCCCTGCTCACTAGAGCACACATTAGAAGCCAACGTACGAAAATCGTAAAGTCCAACTGGCCAAGATATACGGACCCACTCCAATCGAGCGGCCGCGCTTTTAACATCAGTCTCTAAATTTTCCGAATGCATCCGCTCGCTTCCATTAAGCGCCTAAAAGATCCGCGTCCGTTCCGTTTCCTCGAAGCAGCAACATTTTATCTCGCCGAGTTCAGTGTACGGGCGCCTGGCGTGTAAACATGCCGCGAGTGCTGTAGAGTGCCAGAGGGCCACTCGGCCCGCAGCGCCCCTGAATGCCCACGTCCAACCACTCTGGCCCACTCCCCCCGCTGGTGTACGCTCGGCCGCACACCGCACTTCTCGTCTCTACCCCGTTGCGATAGGAGCGAAATTTGCTTGCGACGCCCCTTGACGTGCAGTGTACTGGACGCTATCCCGTCGCGATACTCTCCGATAACGTCCGACAAATTTATGCCGGCAACCGTCACGCCGTACACTACCCTACGACCTCATAGCGAACGTAATTCATGGTTTAAACCGGCCGCAATGTACGACGCGGCCGTTCCACGTGTCAATTCCGTTACACGTGTTTTATTATCCATGTAATATTTACTTACTCATTTTTATTATGCATAAATCTTTTCATCGTACATTATAAGCAGCTTGCGCGCCATATTCAAGGGGCTATCCATCATTCAAGGCATGATATATAAAGCTATTCTTCAAGATACCCTTCATAAAATTAAAATTACGAATCATCATCATAATTATATATGTTATATATAGGCAACATATACCGTACAAATAAATAACAAAAAAAAATACACAGAAGTATCCCAAAAGGCTGCAAATCGTTGTAAAATTGCATTAATTATAAACGTTTGTATTTTAAGATCAATCAAAGAATATCTTATTTCTATTTTAATAGTTTCACATTACATCATTTTCGTTTCTCTGTAGCCGCATTTATCATAGTATCAAAAGGAAGTGCACAAAATAGGTTAATTACACGCGAGCGCGATGCGTGTTGACACAAGAAATGCAGTTCATATTTACAGTTCATCGAACTGTTGCCTGCTATCAACGGTGAATTTATTTGTACACACATTAAATTGACAGAGGGGCAAACACGGTTGGCGCAACGCGGCGTCCATTTTCCAATGCGCTATTTCAAAGTCTAAGGAAATTACGCGAAAGGCAAATAAAGCCGCCCTGGGAATTAAAAATGCAACTGCCTGTATTTCACCCGTGCAAGTCGTAAAAGTTCGAAGGCTCTGCAATATCTTACGTATTCATTAAATACAAAACGGGAAGCTTCCTCAAGTTTGGAACATATTTTTCTTTCTCTTTTTTTCTAATAATTTTCATATAAATGCAAATGAACGCGCTGAATTGTAGCATTGCTGATTGATATAATTAATTTGGTAATTAATCTATCCAATGGGTACATAGTTAATAAATATGTACATTAAGAATTTAGTTGACAATTAAAAATCTTATATCTTTTAATGTCCACCTAAAGTAATACATATTAACAAGAAAAAGAGACGACTTAAGTCCACGCCTTATGAAATTACAAGCGCCTACTTGGAAGTAGATTTATATCTTTGATATTATTTTTGCTACTTAGCGGTGTATTTTTGTTCGCTGATTCTCCTCATAAGCCGGGACAACCAAAAAGATATTACGAATAATATTCGTATATTTCAGTTTATGAAGCGTAAAAAAACCTAACATGGTCAAGTTCTTAAATTTTCTTTTTAAGCTGTTTCTCAATTTATCCATACATGTGATTTTATATGTATCTCCGGTATTTTATTTCTATTATTGTGTTAGTCTGCTTTTATATAGACTGAGAAGGACGTCCTCTAAACGAAACTCTCCAGGGCCAAATAGCCCCTTCGTTTCACCTATCTCGTGAACATTAGCAACCAACCAACTCCTATCTCGAATCTGTTGAAATTCATATTGTTATGTTAAAATATGGAATTTTGTGTTAATAAAACTAATTTACAAATTTTATCACGATTCATTACTGTCCAATCTGATTAATGTCCTTCATAGTCACGGGAGAACTAATGTGTTTGAGATCCTAATGTCATTATTAACACGGACTACCGCCAGCTAAAATATTATTAATTTTTATTCTTATCCACGTATCGTCGCAACATATCCTTTCTGTATCTTGAAGTATGGCATGGTGGTATGCCCGGATCTGGTTTTCATTCCAAAGTGTAATAAATTGTAGAACGCAACTATATGAAATGAAATTTGCCTGTTTCTTAATTCCAAAGCCCAACAAATTGCCCTTAGTAAGTAACGGTGCTCTTTCGCTATCATTGTGGTCTATCAAACGTGATGTTATTGTTTGGTTTTGTATTTTACGTTTTCTGACCTGTTATTTGTGGTGTATGCTATATATGTTCTTTAACATGGGTTTTGGATACAATAGAGACTGCATTCACATTCAAGCTTGTACGCTGCTGGATCTTGTAGAGGCGGGATATTCGCTTGACACCATGGTAAAAATGGACTTCTTGTATATGTTCCTTCAGAAAGTTGTAAAATGTTTTGATAGCAAGTACTCGCTCAACTGTGGCTGTTTACACTCTTAGACGGCGGTGCTGGGAACTTTTTATCCAGTTGCAGCCAAGGGCCCGGGTGTTCATTGTCACAAATATCGGTTTCTATGGTTGGTTTACTTGTATAAGTACAATACTATTAACAGATTGAGCCATCCGTAGAATGGCGGTGTTAATATGATTGCAGATAACGGGTACCTATATCTAGGTATTCGCATAAACAAGAGAAACTATCAAGGAATTAAAAATAAATTGCCTAATAAAATGTGACTTGAAAATTTCACTCTCTTTACTATGATTGTTTTATCAGACGTTATTGTACGGTAGTGCAATACGATTATATTTACTATACCATCAGATGGGTTGGTGTTCAAATGTGGCCAACTACTTGCCATTGTGTATTACAAAAAATACTTATAGTAGGAATTACTAAGTGCGGTGAAAAGTGCATAGAACTTTTTCTACTAACCGCTTCACGGATTGAGGGCATGAGTGCTTGGCTGCATTAAGTTGTATAATCGGACACGCACGTTATTATGCTATGCCTTTGTCTTTTTATTACGATACGCCATTATCGTAACAAACCAAATCATTTCAGTGTCTAAATGATATTATAACATAACGTAGAACATAACCAATCTCACGGACAAAAATGACATGATTAAACTAGTTAGACCCTGGTTAATATTGTGGCGTGTCGTTGTTTTAGGGAACTGGCCCATAATTTGGGTAAAGCAATTACTCCTGACGCGGGTCGGGAGATTCTCCGAATCCGACGCACTAAAATGTAATTCGCTAAAAGTTAGTAAAACACGTCCTGTGAAACGGATGAGGTCGCGATAAAAGCGGATTTAATCGCGTCCACCAAGTTTAAGCTTGTCGCGAACGGCGAGCGAATACTTAGCGAATATTTTTCACGTCGCGATTTAAGTTCAGTTTGGATATGACGTGCTATTTCGCGCATCGTTGAACTTTTCCGATATTTTTAAGCGAAGCGTCAGTAACATATTCCTATGAATGTTAAGGCTCGGTCTACATTGGATCGGAAAATTCGTCTACCTAATTTGAACAATCGCAAGCTCGATCTACAGCCGTCGTCGATATCGATAGCCCTCTTAATATTGATAACATTCGCTATTCTGTACAAAATGGTATCAATCAATAAATATCAAACAAACGCTATTCCGTAGACGTAACCTGATTATTTTTTAATTAAACCGCAAAAGTTTAGACGGGCACACGCGTTTCGTGCACAGGTTGCGCGGAGTTCTCTACAATTAGGACGTGAGCACGCGTCCGTTAATTATTAACTGAATTGTTTAAGCGAGTTGACGAACTTCGGATCTCTCGCTAATTGTTTAATTGATACCGTAGACCTATTACCAGCAATTTGTGAGTCGTTTAACGGCTAGGAATGCAGTTCGGAACTACAAAATGGACACCTAATTTGGGAAGCATATCGCTAATTTATATTTCGTCTAGCAGAAACTTTAATTTTTATTTAAATTTGGAAAATATCTCTAAAAACTAAACTTATTGCTGTATTTAATGAGAGATGAAGGTTAATTGGAGGCTGGAAGTGTGACAGTATGCGTATATATTAGAGAATAAAAGAGATTATACGACTTTTTAGATGTACTGTTCTGCAAGTGTTACTGCAACACGCTTGTCGACTACTATACGTGTCAATTACTTATTTTCACGAACGACGGAACAGAACTTCCAACTACTTCAATACTTTTTAATATAGTAATCTATTATTATATTAAATATATACAAAAATGTATCCCTATTTCCCTTGGTCACGCCATCACGCGTGAATGGCTGAACCGATTTGGCTAATTCTTTTTTTATAATATTCCTTGAAGTAGGAAGATGGTTCTTACGGAGAGAAAAATTTAAAAAATTGCCTGAATAAGTCTAAAACAACACTTCGGAACACACGGGAATATACCCGTACAAAACATTCGTAATAATACTTAAAAGTCAATTTGAACTTTAATACCATACCCTTAAGCTTAAGTGTTAGTGGAGGGGTTCCGGGAAGGCAAAACAAGTGAGTGACTATGGTAAAATGTCACTTGAAATGTCGTCTCTCGTCAAACGTCTCTTTGCTGTGCATCACTACATAGTATAAAACAAAGTCTTCCCGCTGTCTGTTTGTCCCTATGTACGCTTAGATCTTTTAAACTACGCAACGGATCATGATGCGGTTTTTTTTTTACTTGAGTGATTCAAGAGGGAGGTTTATATGTATAATACATTGCACCCGTGCGAAGCCAGGGCGGGTCGCTAGTTTATTATAAACAGATAAAACGACTGTGTGGTAACTAATTGTGGCTGAACTAATAAACAAATAGGAAAAACATTTCAAACAGCGCCATCTCAGGGATTAAATAAAGCGACAAGCAAAACAACAAAAAAGGCGGTAAAAATTCCATCGTAACTTTTAACACAGCGAAACCGCATCGTTTCCTACCGAATTCGTGAAGCTCGTAGTCGGTAGTTAGTTGCTTCCGCGTTCGTCAGCCTCCTGCCGAGGTACACGCGGCCGCAAGGCCATGCGAACCTCTTTGTCTATATGCCTGTGTAGGCGTAATTAAAAAAAACTCACCTGTAATTGAAGGTACTAAGGTGTTGATCTCACAAATCGTTTTTGCCTTCTAGGAGTTTTACATTAGTAACCATGAAAGTTATATACCTATATGTAACCCATGATTCGGCTTAGCTACGAAAGCAGTGTGCGTAGTTATAAGTTATTATATTAAGAATGTTTTTCCTTTATGAAGGCATGTTAGTAATGAATTATATATATTTGGTTCTAAAACACATTATTTATATATTTATTTTATTAATTATTTATGCACAAAATGTATAAAGGCGGTCTTAATACCAAAGGCATTAACTCCCAGTCAACTTTAGATTGGTAGATAGTAGTTTTGTACAGAGAAGATTGTTATATTATAAAATGTAATTCATATAACGAATCTCGCCATTCCATATAAAGACAATAAGAATGAAGTGATGTTCATTTTAAGATATTAATTTTTGAATTAAAAGAAGCGTATTAAAAAAAAATTAGGTATAGTTTTGTGAAAAAATATCCTCTAGTTTTTTACGCGACAGAAGACTTGATTGCATATTTCAAATAGGGTCACACCAACATTAACGCTTGCTGAAACAAGTAGTAATTATGCCATGAAATCGGCCCATATACTGCCGAGTGTGATATTTAATTATGTTTAGATTGTAGTAATAATTTTTTAAATATCAAATTTTTTCCTGATATAAATAGTGATCAATTGTCGCCTTATTACGTACTCAAAATAATTGTCTCTAGTATTTGTATGTATTCAAGTTTTTTGGATTAGAACAAAGATTTTATTCTTTAGCGAGGATACTTTTCTAATAAAACTTTTGACTAGAGATACTATCGACCTTATTATGAAACTTTTTTTTGGAAGATAACTTTTGTTTTGTGTAGTGAATTAGTTCTTGATTTAACCATCAGATATTGCCGCCGTAAAACGTAGATCATATATAAACCGCGATTTAGGGATTTGCCGTTTGAGATTGTAAGAACTTCACGCTCCGCCGTACGAGATTACGCTCACAACCTTTGGCCCGAGAATCTCAGGCGAAATATGTAAAGCTCCTAAGAACCAGCTCCAGGCTCTTCTGTTACGCCTACACTAAATAATATTAATTGGTGGAATACTATTAGCGAGGCTCGCGCTGGATGAATCCTAAAGCGCATGGTTCTTGATCCTGTTTGTTATACATCGTCGTGTTTATGTTATTTATGTTTAGTTTATAACTTAATAAAATAGTCAAAGTAACCTATTAAATACGTTCTATTCTTGGTACAAAGACCTGTACGGATTACACACGTATTAACATCTTTCGCCCCGCGACCACAGTCTGAATTATCAGATTTGGCATAATTTTTGAATAAAGTTGTCTGAAAAATTTAAATTGTTTATAGTGCTAATCTTTGCACTTAAGATTGAACATTAAAATATGTAGAAAAAGTGCGAAAAGATTGTCGCCATTGTGGGAATCGAACCCACGTCTTCGGCATTCGCGGCCTGAAGTTCGAATTCTATTTGTATGCTGGAAAGGATATAACAATAGATGGCGCCAAGCATTGCTTCAAATGCTAAGACAACAATGTGGAAGAATGCGTTAAGATTTTCGTCGGTGTGGCAATCAGCCGTTTAGCTCAGTGGCTAGAGCGTCAGGCCGCGAATGCCAAAGACGTGGGTTCGATTCCCACAATGGCGACAATCTTTTCGCACTTTTTCTACATATTTTAAAGTTGTCTGAGACATGCACGTTACCTTTTTCTCTTTCACTACAGAGTATATTATGATAAATCCTTATTTATTATTACTAGTTAAATTGTCAAGTACTCTACATAGTACTCTAGAGTTCTCTAGTCCTTACCTAGATTATTTAACAATTTAATTCATACAAGCGTCAGGATTTGAACTCAACTATCTCAGGAATACTGAACTAAAAGCAATCACATGGACACTGAGCTGCGAGCGACGAACTAATTGAGGTATTACGTAACGCGCTTGGGCTTTGGAACCTATCGTAAGCTGTTGCGTGATATAGAGAACTTTCAAGTAGAGGTTTGGCCATGAGCACACCAGTTAGCCGCTTGGCCTGCAGTGAAACTAATAAACAATTTCCCATTAGATTAGCATTATCTTAACAAAGCCAAAGTGGTGACTGGGACATCTATCAGTAAGTGTTGGAAATCAAAAGTTCCCTTCTTCTGATCTGCACGGAAAGTTCGCCAGGCGCTCAGAATAAATACAAAGTTGACGTCTCGTAAATTCGAAATCCACATCGAAAGTTGCGCGAGTGTTACAACGAATACTTTGTTAAACGAGATACTTTTTCCCCGGGGATTAACGTAATCGTATCCTTCGGGGGGCCGTTACGGAATTAATCCGGCTGGATGAAGATTTTTTCGTGGCGAGATGTTTAATAAATGAAAGTTTAATTTTTCAACGTGGCGACTGTCGCGCCTTCATTAGTGGCCGCGTTGTTTATTCGTTCCTCTGTGAAATGGGCGAGTATTTTGTTGCAGCACCGACGTTTTCATCAGTGGAGCGGGGCGCGTTTATAAAAAAAAGTTCAAGTGCGAGTCGTTGCGCACAAAGGGTTCCGTACGATTTCTTATAAAAACGGCAAAAAAATCATGTATTTTGTATGGGAGCCGGTTTTAAATATTTTTTTTATTCAAATTTTTAGTATTTATTGTTATAGCGGGAATAGAAATACATCATCTGTGAAAATTTTAAGTGTAACTATCACGGTTCATGAGATACAGCCTGGTGAAAAACGGACAGACAGACAGAGAGCAGTCTTAGTAATATCATATATAATCCCGTTTTAAACTTTGGGTACGGGACCCTAAAAAGAGCTCAGGCGTTTGCGGCAAACAATGGTTGCATTACAACGCAGTTAGCCAGTTCTCGCTCTTTTGGTGTTACCCTCTAAACCAAAAGTACGTGTATTATATTCGACTGCATAGTCGAAAGATCGCATGATAGGAGCGGCTCAGTTCGATTAGCATGCAGCGACCCGAACAAGGCCGCCGTTTTCAACGTCGCTCGTGCTCGTTATGTGAAACGTAGGCACATTCCGCCGACGAGCGGGGCGAGCGGTGCGAATCGCCAATCTCCTCTTCAAACGTGTACGCGCGTGTGAAAACATTTTTTGCTCTTTACCGACTTAACGCACGCATTCCAACCCAATTTCTACATATTATTTTTCAAAGGATTTTATTTTTATGTCGCAACGCCGTAACTTCCATAATTCTTCATCCAATTAAATGATTCAAACACAATTTTAAAGTGTACCTACGTTGGCCTCTGTTGACGACAAATAGACATGTATATGAAATAGACATAATAGAATTAAGTCCATGTTTTCATAAAAAAGACTCTTAAAAAATTCCTATAAAGAATGTACGAGTATGATAATGCCATAATATGTTCTATTGACAATTTATTCAAATGAAATATAGTGAACTAGTCTATTTTAACGCTTCATAGTTAGAAACCTTTCATCGATAAATAACTTTATTTAATTTAATACATTATTTTATATTACCATATCGGTACTCACCGATTTCGAGCAGTATCATCACTCATTGAGTATACTGCTCGAAAATTCGTACGGATCAACACTAGTTGATCCGTACAAATTTTAGTACATGGACTGCCATGTATATACATTTAAGCACGTCCACGTGTTGTTTCTAACAGCCGAACGGAACACATTAGGCGGAGCAGCGTACGACTTGTGTTTGCGTCAATGGTGGGTAACCTGTTTATCTTATGTAAGATAAGAAACCGACGTTGAACAATGAACGCTAACTGTCTTATTACTGTTGTCATTAGTCCGGCCGCGTACGAAATCGACGCCGGCAGCGTTTCGTTAGCGAGCACGCTTTCGAGTTAAATTAAAAGGGCTCACAATGTTGTGTTGCTTTGCGCGGCTTCAGTGGGTTAGCCGTACGAGTCTCCCCCTAGTGCGTTGAACCAGCGGTTATATTTAACTGCGTCAACACGTGTGCGTCGGAAACGCGACAAAGCTCCCCAACCAAGAGCGTCTCGTGACGGTTTCTTACTGACTTTCAGTTTGATATTATTCGTGTGTTGTTCAAGGATCGCACTTTTGAATCGAAATTCTGGAATAACAGAAGCAAAGTCACTTATTAGTGTCCTGTTCAATGTAATGTACATAACTATTATTCCTGCGTCTTTATGATTGCTTTTAAACAGTCCTGATGATCAGGAAACAGGAATAATCAATTTACCTTGATTAACAGTCTATGTAAATCATGGTCTATTAGTTGACATAACTTTTTTATGTCGTCATAATTTCCTTAAACGATGACGTACTTCGAATAGGAACCCTTAATATATGTTATGTTGTATAGAACTGTAACTTATGTTTAAATTAACTTTGTTATCTATTTAACTTATAATTCTGTAAATAATTATTGAAATGCCGATGTGACCATGAAGTAGCTATTTAATTACTTTAGTAGTTATCCAATCATTCACAGCTAACGTACTTTTATAAATTTTTATTATAGTATCTATCTCGTTATCAAGCTCTACCGAAAATCTAATCGCTGGCAACGGGTCGCGAAACCTAATTCACAATTTAAAGGTTTCCCCCATCTATCCTTTATACGCTCGAACCACTGAACAGAGAACGAGGTAAGCCTGAGACATAATGTACAGCCTACCTGGTGGTTCACAATGGCGTACATTGAACCCGACGCCCACCCGTGTCATTATGACGCTTGGCGAGCACTCGACTATTGTTACCTCCCGGGCTTCGCGTCGCCGCCAATGCACAATGACACTCCGTCGCCGTATCAACAGCCTCGGCTCTTCCCTTCCTCTTCCCGGCGACTCGTTTCGGATCTAGCATCGCACCTGTATCGGTTCCAATGTACGCGCCGAAAATTCTCCGGGGCAACTCTCGTTGTTCCTCGAACAATTGCTCTCGGTCAAGATGAAAGTTTCGCGCCCCACGACTGAGGATGCAACATGCGCCCCGATGGAAATCCTCTTTGTCCCGAACGGTTGAGAAGTTGCGGATTGAGGGTGATCAAGAACCTTTGTTACGCTTTCTAAGTTTGAAAGGAAAATGACGACTAAATCCCTAATACTAAAATACAAGTCACGGAAAAATGTATTTATTGTTGCAAAGTCAATTGACTAAAATATCGGCAGTGGATTCGTCAGGCTTGTTTACCGTGCAATAAGTGTGATCATATTATAAAATCAAGTCCCTAGTTAAATAATATGTCTAGTCTATTCTTATATTATATTTAGCGTTAAATTTTTTTGAAAATATATTTTCATATCATAAATACTTCCATAGATTTAAAAAGTCACATTTCTGTGCTAAGAATCAAGTTACCAATTATAAATTAAAATAATATGGATTTGCAATTATTTCTTAAACCTAACATAAGTATAGTAAAACCGTTGAATTGAAAACATAAACACGTGTCAGTCTGGTTGCCGATGTTGTGAATATAAAATTAAACCATAAAGTTATGTAATTCCTCTAAATACAATTTTAGTAGCGAAATTTTACCAATTGTGAACTATAAACTGGACGTAGCTAATAACAAATAATTTTTGTACATTTTAAAATAAATGAAAAAATAATAAGCAGTCTTAATTTTCTATAAATACTTCATTATTAACCAAGCCTGTGAACTCGATTTTTAACAATATTTTGCCAATATTCATGATTTTGATAAGGCTAAAAGTAAAAACTAAAAATGGCAGATTCTTGTTTTGTTTTTTTTTGTTTAATTTGTGCTGAGTTAATTTTAGTCTATTTACTGGATCTATTATTATCACAGAGTACGACTAAGAAGTGGACGATTTTGTGACTTTGGTGGAAATTGTGTTGATTTGTGAGAGACTCTTTTGCGATATTGGTGCTTATATTATAATTTAAATCATAAGTTGTACGATAAGGATGCTTTGATAATGGAAGGGAAAGAAAGTATGACTTGTATTAAATGAGCAATTATATCGGCTTTGTATCTAAAATGGAGAGAATCATACAGCGATACTCAAAACCATCTTTTAGTAAAATAAAAATATTAATGAATTTGTTTTATTGGTACCTAGGAACCTAATTCATAATAAATTATACATTAATTCAAAAATTAATTAGGAAAGTAGCAAAGTAATTTAAAAGTTGTGTTCATATAATTACTATTTTGGTACTTTTGACGGGCCAGAATCACCAAAGTATTTTATTTATTTATCTATTATCTAATATTATAAATGTTTTTCCCCTTACGGCCCTTAACGGTACCTACCTAAGTATAAAAAACTGCTCCTTTTTTCTAGCTATCGAGGCATATTCGTAAGTTTTTTTTAAAGCTGTAAAAGTCGAAATATGTAGATACTATCGTTAAGGAAAATCTGTTACCTAATTTGGTAAAAGTTTTAAACTTCATAATATACTAACTTCAAAATATAATATAATAGCCGATTAGAATTAATACTCTGTCAGATCGAATTGAATATAATATTAGACATGTAATATTCTGCCCTGTAGGTGCTGGAAACTTCTGTTGGTTTATAACCTTTTTTACACCTACCGCAGTCGATTTTATTACAGATTGTTTTTATTATTTAAACTCATAGCAGTAGTATACGACATAACCTCAAAAACTTTAAACCGAAATATCTTTAATTCCAGATTTCCTTTAATAACAATTTTTATGTATAATGTATTCAGAACATTAAATTCTATATTTTTAAAATATTTTTCGTCTTAAGACGCAAAAAAATTTGTTCAACAAAAATTTCTTTGGCAGTTCGCCATTGTCCTTTAACTTGTTCGGTGTTATTTTATAAAGCTCATTAAATAACGGAGGGGCACGGCTTTCGATGAGCGCTTAGTCGAGCTCCATGCGTTTTGTCGAAATCTTTTCGTCGAATTAATTTATTCTTAAAAATCTAAATGTACCTTAAAAAGTTTTGAGAGCGTATTATAAAAATCAAAAAATAAAATTGTCTACTGAAATAGTACTTTCACTGAATAGCCTTTTTTGGTATCAGAGGGAAATCTACGAAACACCCTGTCCCCTTACATGACAGGGTTATGTGGGGTTCTTGTCCACTAAAACCCCCCCGGTGGCCACCTTCTGTACGTGTAGAGGGACTCCGGGATCTCCTAGGGAACGCAGCGGTGTCTCGGTACTGCGCGTGAGCATGACTCGGAGAAGGATCGACCTTGTCCGTGTCCTCTCATAATCGCCTTTTACGATAGGCAGGGGATACCTACGTCCTATTCGATAAGCCCTAGACTACAGGACTTCACTGAATAGCCTAGCTTTCTATAATCTATAAACAAGCCCTCTTAATATCGCGTTATAGGTATTTATGCTTATAATTTCCTCAAGTATCTATTAAATGATAATCTTAAATATTCCAGAATTAAACTTATACGGTTTTATGTTTTCAACGACAGTAACAATACATTTCGTTACTAAAATAGTACAAAAGCGTGAACCTTTGCTCTTTATACTTAAACACAAATGAGTGATTCCCCTTTTGTATTTCTAAAAATTTCCACAGCTGTTAAGTATGGCATGTGTCGGCGGAAATTATCAAAAAAAAATAATTTTATTATAGATATATAATAATATATAACTCACTGTTCTAACTGTTTTCTCAACATTAATATTTTCCAAACCATCACCTCGTATTAGAACCAAAGACTAAAATGTAATCACATGTGGGAGTAATAGCAGTAGCTTCGTTTTATGTTGTGAGTACTTTTACGCGGCGTTTCCGCTCGAGTTTTGCTGGAATCTGTAATTATTTAATGTGAACTGATGACACTCGTCGCATTTAAACTCTCTTGCCGCTTAAAACTGTATCGCTTTAAATGACTGCCGTTTAAATATCCTTTGCTTTTTAATTGTGGAATGGCTTTACCGAACTGTGTATTTATTTGAAACTAAAAAAGCATACCTCAAAGTGGTCGAGTCCTTTTTGAGTACAACGAATTCCTTTAAAATATGCATTGTTAAAGTAATATTCCATTCCAATGGAGCGATAGAAAGATAAACGTTTAATGGTATAAAATAACTCGCAGGAATACAAAAGATTTCACAAAACGTGAACGGCGTCCGTATTTTGCATTGCTCAAGTCGTTCGAGCTTTTGTTTAGTTTTAATTCTGTTATTTTATGTGAAACTTGAACATATTGCTTGCGGTACTTATTAAACATTAGATTGTCATTTAACTTAGTATAAATCTTTGTTCTGAACATTTTTGAAATTCATGTGTAGTAAACCAATGAAATATGATCGTCGTTGAAGGAATTTAAGTGGATAACTATTTATATTCGAAATCTAAAACTAGAAAACTAAAGAATTTAGTAACTAGAAAAGTAGAGACATGTACTTAGAATGTATTTGGGAGCCGAAACTTTAATCTCTTAATGTGTATTTCATCCTAATTTATCTTTCCAGGAACGGGTCTTTTATAAGTTACTCAAGCTTGTTGAAATGTTGTTATGATGACTTGGATCTATTTTTACTTGAATATAAAATTTCAGTAATTTTTAGACTCAATTTTAAAGAAATTTACTAAATTACATCTTCATACAGATAACAATAAGCCATAACAAACTTCTCGGCGCTTAATTCTCAAAACATTAAAGTTAGAAGAAAAAGTTTGGTGATTTATTTCTATCTTGACGGGGACTGCTTCAAAAAAAAACTTCAAAATATTTGAAAGGGGCGAACTTTATGTAAATTTGCTTCTTCGAATTCTCTCGAATATTGCTAAGACGCGACGTTTATGAAGGTTTTCTTATATCTATATTATGACAGTTCCTTCTGATAAAATATAAAGCAAATTTTACAAAACATCATGTGGGTAGACCACTATGTACACCTATTCTAAGCCATGCGTGACTATCACTAAAATACAAACCGCACACGATAAGCCTCGAAAGTTGAGCACGCAAAGTTATTAAAAGTGTAGACGGGGACGGGGCTATAATCGTTCCTACGTAGCAACGTAGTAAACTAGCTCAGACTAAGTAGGGCTATCGATTCGAACGCCGATACAACTATGTTATAAGTGCCCTCACTTCAAAGACTGCACCAAAGCGCTAAGCACCGTCACCCCTACAAACTACGTACCACAACTTTTCCCCCATAGTTGCGAATAACTTACGCCGGTCGCACGTTTCCGATGCCGCCGTGCCGTACACGAATTTGGGAGCTAATGTAAATTGAATATTTCTTTTTGTATATTACGAGGCGGATCGTCTTTGCGTTTTCGTTCGATTATAACTTGATGCATTACTGAAATAGGCCCATGAATTTCGAGTGGGGTTCGCGTGTCGTAGCCGGGGATATCGATCGCAGTGCGCGCGCACTCTCCGCCGAAGTGTACACAGATGGCTGTTGGAGCGTTTCGGTGGCACGCCGCAAGGACTGAAGTGAACACTTGGTGTCATCAAAGTGTCATCGACAGCTGAGGTTTTGTGTTAATGACGGCGAGCGACACTGATCACCCGCGCCTCGATTGCACGCGTTCTTACTGCGAACGGTTTTGAAACGTCACTGGGTGGGAGCACCTCGAAGCGTTTCTTATTGAGTAGGTGCGATCAGCTGTGGGTAGTCCGCCCCCGTCCCTCTTATCTCGTCCTCCCGTGTGATTAATCACGGGCGCTGAATCTTTATGCCCCCGCCGCACGGACTGCGCCGGCCGCCGACTGATGGACTCGCTCGTAACTAGACATTCGTCTTGTGATTCGCTTAATTTGTTTCGGCGCTGCCGCTACACGTCTGTGCTATGTGTACATTTGTACATGACTAAGAAAGCTCGCTCTCTCGTTCCTCGCGTTTTTAGGCAAACAATTCAACTTTTACTTGTCTTCTAATTTTCTTATTCATAGCTGTCGTTTTATATGGTTCAATGTGAAATTGAAAAAGTATTTTATAGATGTGATATGAACAATGTTCGGAAAGTTTTTCTAT